TTATTATGTTGGGTATAGTTTTTCTTTGTATACTGGGATTAAGTCCTTTGTTGCATATTGTTCATGTACACCAGGCCCGCAAAACTCAAAATGTAAGGTTGGCCGTAATACTTTATGAAAAACTTGTGCGAGCCTTAATACTTTATGAAAAACTTGTGCGGGCCGAAAGATGATAGGACAAGGGCGAAAGCTATTAATAAAATGATAATAATAAAGAACATTTCGTTCCTTCGCGAATCGTGGGCCGCAAAGTGGGTGCTCGCGGGCCGTATGTTGTGCAGGCCTGATTCTAACATATTAAATTTGTAAAACCAAATAACGGTACTATCAATCATTTCGAGAAGACTTTACATAAGCCAAGTCAAATTGTTTTTAAAGTAGCCACACAACAGTCACCGTTATATTGGTAATGATCCATGTTTAAATCATTTGTATTAACTTCGATTTTGTGTATTTCTTAATGGGGGAAAAATCTCTGGAAGGTTACTTGAGCCACTTCCCATAAACCTATCAGACTGAAACTTGGCACATAGACTAGTTGCCAATGACAACACGTTACATCAAATTTTCAGTCCCACTCATCCTATCGCGCTGAAACTTAGCACATAGACTCGTTGCCGATGACAAATATTCCTTCAAAATTTCAGCCCCACCCCCACAAATCAGTTTTTCATTTAAACATTTTTAAAACGCCCATCTTCTGTACCGATTATGCCATTGGTCTTCCAGCAAGCTGGTCTATTGAGGAGACACAACCTTTAACAATTCTCGTCTGTGTGTGTCTACGCAGGAAGTGCTCGATCTCTATATGTAATTCAAGGCTGCCCTGGCATCAGCTAGGAGCTGTTAGAATAGCAACATCATACCCCCAACCGTTGCAAAGATGCCAGCAACGAAACATTAGCAGAACCAGAGAACATTCCAAATGTCTTATAGCCGTGATTTCTCTGCCAAAGTCATCGTCTGAGATGCTCAAACATTGTCAAAGTCATCGTCTGAGATGCTCTAACCCTGTCACAGTCGCCGTCTGAGGCACCCTAACCCTGTCACAGTCGCCGTCTGAGGCACCCTAACCCTGTCACAGTCGCCGTGCTCTAACCCTGTCACAGTCTCCTTCTGAGGCACTCTAAACCTGTCATAGTTGTCGTCTGAGGCGCCCTAACCCTGTCACAGTCGCCGTCTGAGGTACTCAAACCTGTCACAACGTCCAGTAGGCTGATGTCAATATTATCATTATTACAGTGGTCTTATATAGCGCAGTGCCGCTGGGCTCACCGCGTTTCACATATTCTTTGTGTCTTCCACTACGACACGTTCTGTAATGACCTGAGTTCTACCTGGCGTTAACTTTAAGGGTGATGGAACTGTTACAGCTGGGACAGAATATAATATTTTAGGGGTGACTTTTATCCTGTTACAATCCCTAAACCTTTTCATTGTAGTCGGCCCAAAATGTCACCCGGGGCAGACCACTCCAACTTAAGGCCAGTGGCGCAGCTAGGGTTGCGGACAGCACCGGGGGACACCATCTCATGGGGTGATACCAAGTTGAAAAAATACCATAATTAACAGAGCACACACTGCTCGGTCTAATAGAATTCGGTAAAAGGATAACATACCAAACGTAAATCACTCGAAATAATAAGAAAGCGATTAGTAATGGGTGTGTGGGCCATTCGCTTAACTTGTGTGGTCAACACTCTGTAGCCGAAAATTGTTCATGTATTAGAATTAGATTTCTCGGTACTTTCGAGAGAATATTTTCCTTCTTTGCTGCGTCAACTGATCGGTGCGATGTTTTAATTGAACACACTGGAATGTCGGTGAAATGCGTGTCAACAACATAGTGGAGTGCTCATCATGCTGCTGTTAAAACAGTGAAAGATAAGTTTGATAAATGCGTGGCGGCGATTGAAGCTCTAAGTGGTCCTCTTGAAAATCTGGATACAAGAGGTACAGAACATAGTCTTTTACATGATGTCTGTGATTTTACTTTTCATCTGCTACATTTACCTCTGGGCTGATCTACTTGAGGAAGTTAATCTTACACAGCAGTATCTGCAGACTAAAGGCTTTACTCTTGATAAAGTAGTGACAAACCTAGTGTCTTTAAGATTGTTTCTGCACGGGAAGAGCTGTCACTTTGTGGAACGTGCTATTGAAAAGGAATTTTTAAATCAGATCAATATGAAATTTCGGTAGAGAGAAGGTTAAGATTTAAGAAGATAATGGCATTGGATCAATGAATAGATGCCAGAAGGAACCGTAGGGAGATGCTGGAGTGTACTGATGACTTTCATTCTGAACTCCCAGATCAGATCATCAGCGATCAAGGAAATAGCAGATATGTTTGGGGCTGTTCAAGTCATATTTAATTTCATAAATTCATGGACTGGTCAGTATTTGATGTTTTGAAATTCATAGCTTGAGTGAAGGGTACTTCCTATAGAATCTCTTCCAATGCTCTCGCTAAGCCTTAAATTATTTCTTACGATCTTTGTGTCTATGGCTTCATGTGAGCCCAGATTTTCAAAACTAAGGCTTGTCAAGAACTATTTACTCTCCACCATGGGACAGTCAATGCTTTCTGATCTGGCTCTACTATCAATTGAAAGTGATACAGTAAAAGATATTGATTTTGAACAAGTGATTGACAGGTTTGCAATTTTGATGACCAGGAAAGGAACATTTTTATAAAGTAAATGAAAGATATAAAAACTCTTTTGTTCCTTAATCTGTACGAATTTACCAGCGTGCTCCCCTTGAAGTCACACATTTTAACGAGAACTAATAAGTCCCTGTTATGGCTACAAGAACTCACTGAATGGCTGTTTTAAAAAAAAAAAATTTTGTTTAATAGTGAACTAATTTATTAATATAAATGTCTTGTGTTCAAATTGTTTTATTTATGTCTGAAAATGTATAATGCAATCATAAAACATTTCCATTTGTTTTGGATCAATAAAAAGAGTCTAATCTTAATAATAACTATAACTTAACGTTGTTTCAGTTCTTAAAACTATTTACCACCTGACCTTCAATTTATTTGTTTTTGTTCTTGTCAATGTTATACTGTGGACTTATTTTAACAGGAAGAAATCCATCGTAGAAGTTGGGGAGGGGGGCATGTGACGCAACGAGTTTGTCGCAATGGTGACACCACCCCTAGATATGCCACTGCTTAAGGCACTGGATAGATCTTAACCCATTCAATCCCAGTCACTAGGACATTTTATACTCTTTGACTTCCCGGCGAAAGGGAAATAGCTCTGTACTTAGCGCAGGTTTTTTCAGGAAAGAATAACAAAACTATCTTGCGAAAAAAAAAATCAATAAAAAGAATGTGTACTGCTCAAATACTGATGTCTAAAATTCTTTTAATGTGTTTTTGTGTCAAGCAAAAAGTGAATATAAAGACTGCAGCCATTCACGTAGACTAGTATTTATATGTTTTGTAAACAAATTGCTCAATAGAAATTTCTATAAAAATATTTCAAAGTACTAAACCAGAAGCAAGATTCCCCTTAAAAGCAGCTTTGCTCCTATTTGTTTAAGATACCCCTTCATTGGGCTCTTATTTAAATCAATCATTATTGTAAGTAGAAAAAAAAAACTTCAATACAAATAAGAGGTTGATTCTAGAATGCATATTTTGCTCCACACAGAAGATGGACCAGAAAGAAAAAAAATGAATGAAACAATATCAAATTTAAAACTAAATCTGCCTATCATAAATTTAAAAAAAAAGATTATTCTGAAATTATTATTTTTTATTTATGTGCAAAAATAATTGAAAATACAATTTTTTAAAGTTCTTGGAACAATGCATATTCTTTTAATGGTAAAAAGAATGAATTTCAGGCATACCTATAAACGACAACATAAACTATTTGAATGCAGTCTTTCATGTTCTTATATTTACATGGACACACAGAAGATTTCAAAAATACCTTTGGAACAAAAAACATAAAAATCATGAAATTCATAACTTGAGCTATCACATATTTTCTTGACATATTCTTAGAACCTTGCTAGCTGCCTATGGCACAAAATATAGTTCCAGTATTTATGAATGACCACAAAATGCAAGTAATTGGAAGAAATGACAATCATGATTAGTAACCAACTTTATATAGTAAGAACCCCTAATACAAGACTATAAGGCCCTTGAATATAATATATAAAAAAAACTGAGGAGTATACATCAATTTATTTAACATTAATACACATCAATTAATATATATATATATATTTATATATCTTAAATTATCACACTTTGTCTTTAGAACTTAAATGAGAAACATCAAAAGAAGAGTTTCACTTAATTTCATAAGCCAAAAACACACCGGCTTGCAAGAAACATGGACTTAACAAATATATATTTTTAAAGCTACTCCGTCTCAGTTTATACAGTATATATTTTAACCAATCTGAATTTGAGGAAAAAGCACAAATAATCTCTAGGCTATGTAGAATTTATTTGAAATTTGAAGCAATTTATAGGAGTTTTTCAAGATTTGTTTGTAGAATTGAAGCTTAAAAAAAATTTAAATGAATTTTCATTTTTAATAATACTCTATATACAAATTTATCTATTAAGCCAAAAGCATTAAAAATAATTGTTGCTCTTCAAATAAACAAAAATAATTAAAAAACATTGCTTCCTTTCCTTATAAACTAACATCAGGAGATGTCATCTAAACCTTATCATACAAAAAAAAACCAACAAAAAACAATGGCCGAACTACAAAAAGTATGGTGGCCAAATATATAAAGCCAAAAAATTTATTTCCACACTGTAAAGAAGGTTAAAACATAGTAAGCAGGCTAGAAATTGAAAGCAGGTACATAATTCATACAAAAAGAAACTATGCACAACTTATGATATTCTAATGATATAGTTATTTAGTAACATGAATACAGTCTGCCCCACAATGTACAAAAAGTATTTTACTCAATCTTGTAAATATTACAGTTACCCAATATTCTTTAAAAAAAAATAAACATTTAAACAAAACTCCATAAATCATGTGATATTAATTTTCTTGGGAGAACGTTGCTTAGTTTAAGCACCGGGCTCCGTTTAAGCACCGGGATCCAATGTAAATGTTTAGGTAATTTTATTTTGATTCCCATATGTTTATATCTTAGGAGTATGAACTGTCAATGAAACTGTAATCACCCCACAACGGATTTTCTGTTTTTTTTGTTTTGTTTTTTAAAAGTAAACATTAGAAAAAGTTGGAGACAGGTTTGGGGCCATCTATATATTACATACATAAAATAAAGTCATGTCATCACATCCAAACACAATAACTTCTTGGAACCCTCCAGCCCATACACTTGTATCTCCCAACTGTCTGCTTCAATTTATCTTTAGAAAATTATGGGGAACAAGACAATGAAACCAAGTCCTTGTAAACTGTGTTAGGAAATTATGCCATGGATTTCCCCCTCTTTCATGATTAACGCTGGCTGTTTGACATAAGGAATATTGTAGAACAATACAAAGTTTTCACAAGGCATGAAATTACTGCTACTTAACAAGTTAATTTTTGAAAAAAAAACACATAAAATTGTGGTGATTTTTTATACTACTATACTTAGAGACCTTGAAAAGAATTGATTTTAAAAAGGCTGTTAATTATTGGTTAGTGTGTGCTTAAATGTATGTGCTCTCCCTCCTTGCTAAATGCACCCGTTATTAAAATCTTATTCAACCAGTAGATAAAATATGGATGGCACATTGATGGCAGCTCCGCTAATTTCACTCATAATGAGTGTACTTGATAGGTTTCATATGGATGGCACATTGATGGCAGCTCCGCTAATTTCACTCATAATGAGTGTACTTGATAGGTTTCATATGGATGGCACATTGATGGCAGCTCCGCTAATTTCACTCATAATGAGTGTACTTGATAGGTTTCAGTACTTGTGCCAGAGCATCATGAACTTGGGGCCACAATTCATTGGAATATTTGCCAGTAAACTCCTCAACAATACCTTTATTTCTGAAATGCAGATGTATAATTAAAGTTAAGTATAGTGTTCTTTATCTCTAAAGGAAAAACAGCCCAAACTTTGGGATGAAACGATTTGAAAAATCAGAAAAAAATCGCATGTCAAGTTAACATTTCAAAGCATTTACCATTACATTGAGTATGGATTTTATTTTGAATAACTGATAATCTGTTTAGGAAATCTTCATACTGTTATTGTTCCTCTAATAACTGCATGCTGAGCGGGGTCAATTTCTGTGAAAATTTCTCCAAATTTTTGTCCGTTAAGATCTTATTTTTCACAGTAATAATAAATACATTCTTTTACTTTCTGTAATCTTGGTTTTGGAAGATCCAACCTCGGGCAAAAAAAATGGTGATCAATAGTTTTTTAACTACTTTCTATTTCTCGTTGTATTTTCATTTGTCCCGTAAGCTGAAGAAAGCTCTTAGCCGAAATATAGATTCTTATCAGATTTTCCTGTCTTTTGATTCAAGCTTCCACACATATTTTTCTACTATTATCTTTACATGGCTTGAAAGCAGTCCTTCATTTATTATCCTTTATCATTAAAGTAAACTCAACTTTTATTTTGCTCTTAATGTAGCGCTCCAAAATAACTGCAATTTAATTTTCCATGATTTTTATAGTAAAGTCATTGTTACATCAGTGAATTGTTAATTATTAAAAGTGCTTAATGCATGGCATGATTTACCTGAAAAACTGTAACACTGGATGTGTCAGTCGCCTATAATGTTCAAGCCTAGCTTTAACAGTTTCCTCCTTGTCATCATCTCGTTGTAATAAAGGTTCTCCAGTCACATCATCTATGCCCTAGAAGCGAGACATAAAAAAAGCTGTAAAATTATAACGAAAATATTGGGAAAAGATTTATCATAGTATTAATTATTTTAAACATCTTTTATGCAAAGAGTTATGAAGATATGACCTGTGCACCAAGGCAAGCACGTTTAATATCATTCATCTATTGAAACCAAAAGTTGGAATGAAACATTTACAAGTTTTTTTGTTTTTTTTAAGAGGAAATCTTACAGATTATAATTAAAAAAATCCAGAATTACAAACTTAGAATCAAGTTGTCAAATTCTGAGATTGTATTTGTTGGACAATTTTTAAGACAACATAATTTTTTTCAATAGCCTAAAAAATAAAATTCTCCAAAAGTTCACTGAATGGCGTACACATTTGTGTTTATTATGCATGTAAGATGAACAAACAATATTTAAAGATTTTCTTTACACTTTGTGCACAATACAGTTCATGTAAAATTGCTGTTGAATTTTAATTTTAATGAGAATAATAACATTTCTAAAAACACAAGGCTGTAAGAGATGTGAAAATTGATTAAGAAATTCTTCTTTAGATATATGAACTTAAGGCTTTTCCTAACAATTTTCCGAAAATATATTTCAAGAGTGAGTAAAAAGGTTGGTTAAATATTTAATAAGGATACCAACATATTAAAATCCATCAAAATTACAGATATTTAAAATGGCAAACCGATTTTTTAAAATTCAAGGACATAATTTACAATTTTTAGAAGATGTTTCCTTTGCAATTCAGGTGTATGAAAGAGTTTAGGGTAGAAAGATAAACATCTCTGCATAAATATAACAAGACTTTTATTTTTAAAGTCTGATTCACTAATTCCTTTCTGTCAGGATAAATTATTTAAGTATATAATGCATCAAAACGCGATTGAGTTACATAAGTAAATATTGTATATTTAAATGTTGAGACTTGTCAATAGCAGGTAAAAAGTAGCAAAATACGCCTAACAACATTATACCGATAACACTGGATCATATTAGATTTTTGATTAATAATGAAGTGTGTATCTGCTCTGGACCATTAAACCAATGAAATGCCCTACCCAGTGTAGCTCCACTATGCAACCAATATTAAGGGGTTAAGAATTTTAACTTAAAAAATTTTACCCACTGGAACTTTCGGTGGATTAAATTCAATATGATAGATCCTTCCACTTGGTAAATGAGTCCACCTCCCTTTAATTCTGTCAATGATAACTTCAAAAGGGACTCTCAAATTGATAACAATATCAATGGGTTGGTCACGAATCAAAGCTTTTGATTGTTCTACAGTTCGTGGAAAACCTATTTTTTAGAAAGATGAAAAAACCAAATGAGCACATAAAATCTCCATTAAACAGACCTGACTTACTATAAATGACCTCGAAGCTGTGGAAATTAAAAAGTACACATCATTTTGCATTTAATTTATTTGGGTAATAAAGAAATTTCTTCAGTAAATTATTGGCCACTGGGGACATTCATTAAAACAACTCTCTATGTTTAGTTTAAGTAAAAAATCTTGTTACTAAATTTAACAAAATGTTTTTATGCTTTTAAATCCTTAAAAGTTTAGATTTGCCATTAAAGCATTTATATTTTTTTTAAAAATGACAGTTAAACAAAGAATTCTTATGAATAAATATTTGTAATAAATGGAATTTAAGAAAAAAATTAAAAGATATAATTGGTCACCATAAATGATAAAGGTATGATTAAAAACTATGTATCTAGTCATGGATTTTGGTAAATCCATGGATAAAAAAAGTTACTTTAAATTCATTATTTTATTACCATCAAGCAGCCAGCTGTGATGTTGTAAATTATTTAGTTCATACATAACCATCCTCAACATAACATTGTCAGGAACAAGCTCTCCAGCATCAATGAAACGCTTTGCCGTCATTCCATTTGCTAAATTAAAAAATTAATAAAGTAAGTGCTAGGCTAAACTATTCTAATAAGTTAATAAGTCTAATAAACAATTATGTTTTACAAGGCCTTGTCTGAAATGTGTATTTTAAAAACTGGAATCATGACAAATTAAAAAAAAAGAGTTCAATCATAAATGATTAAATTTTTCTAATTCATACAATTTAACATGATCTATGTTAATACTTGAGTTTTACATTTTTAAAAGGTCTTTTCATTATGGTATGTACTTGATATAATAAAAGGGCATCCATACTCAAAGATTATGAAGTAGATACTTAGTTAAGGGTGACCAGAAGTAGGTACTTAGATAAGGGTGACCAAATGTCCTGTAAAAATGGGATTGTCCCATTTTTTCACGATCTCTTGGGATGCCTAAATGTCCTGTTTTTAAAACCAATCATATTTTCAAATCACTAAAACTTCCTAATTTATAATATAACTTCAAGTACTATTTTGGCTAGCTGTGTAGCCAGTGCCAGTAGGGATGTGAACTCGTGTGATGGCTGCAGTGTTCCCCCTCCACCACTCTCCCGACGCTGCGTAAACGACAGTGTCCCTGCCATAGATTTTATTATGTTGTAAAATATGTATATATAAATAAGTATTCACCGAAAAATTATTGTTTTTGTTTATGATATGTCTCAGAGTTTAAATTAAATTACAAAAGTGAAGGTAAATTTAAAAAGATTTCCAGGTCTCAAATAGTTAAAATGTGCATATTTCAATAAACAATTTCCGGCAGAGGCCCCAGGACCCCACTTTAGCTGGGTATCACCCCAAACAACCCTCTTTGGGTGTGTCACGTTTTTTTCATGATTTGGCCACCCTAACTTAGAAAGAAGTCTAAATATTATCCTATTCCCATAAAAGATACATCATTTTAAAGGGCTAAGAAGGCCTATAAGTTTTATAAAAACCAATTTCATTTTCAATAGAAGTGGAGTTATGATCTTTTTGGTGAATTTTTTAAACCCCTTTCTTATTAAGCTTTGTTATTTTTTTAACAGCAAAAACTTACGACTGACTTTCAAAAATTTTTGCCTGCTTTCGCCCATAACTTTTTTTATTTTAAAAGATAATCATAATGCTACCAGAATTTTAGGAGACATTATCACTGCTATTAATATCATAATAAATAACAAAATGTTTACATAACTTCAATATTAAAAAAAAAAAAATTGTGATAATTTTATTTGAGGGTATTAATTTAAAATCCTTTTTTTTTTCTTCATGTCTACCTGGTGACTGTAACCATATGGCTATACAGTATAAGTATAGTGTACTATAATCTATAAAATTGATTGCATGGGGCATGTTTCGAGGATCAGCAGGCTGTTAATGTTGAGGTGGAGGTATTAAAAAATGGGGGAGGGGGTGTTTTGATGATGATACTGGTCACTGTTACTAGTTACTGATATTCTCAATATTCTCATTATGATTATGACTATGACTTGCTTCGTGGAAACTATGCTCAAGTAATATGAATAGAGACCTTTTACTTTTTTAAAAAGATATTACAATAAGCTGACTAGGTCTACAACTATCAACACAAAAACAAAAAGTAAAGCACACCAGTCTTATCGTGGATTTGTTTGCGAAGTAAGTCACCACTAGACAGGTGTTTTACTCCAAAATCTTGCACAATTCGAGCTGAGATGGTGCCCTTTCCAGATCCAGGAGCACCCATTATAATTGCACGTAGCAATTTTTTAGTCGCCATAGTAATAAACGAATTTGAGTAATCAAAGTTCTAGTATTAAACAAAATAAATACACAGTTTGGCAGCCCAAATCAGCTGGTGACAATTTGCAACTGCATATAACTACAGTACTCAGTACACACAGACTAGTCAAAACGTTTTGGCCAGAATGTGCTGTATCAAAGGTCATGTTTATAATGCCATTTTATTTTTATTTTCCAAAAGGATTCGTTATTTAAGCTAAATTGTCATTAAGAAACAATAGGCACATTTTTAAGGATATTTTAAAAGAAAAGGTTGTGAGAAATGAATTTTTGAAAATAAATTTTGTAAAGAAAAATTTTACTTTATCATTAATTTTAAAAACAAATAAATTCCCAAACTTAGAAAATCGGTAATTGAGAATTATACAATCTGGCATTTAATTTTAAATCTTTTATTTTCGCACTAGATTTATACATTTTAATAGTAATTTAATTATAGTGCAATCGTCCCATAAAAAATTACAATGTTAACAATTTCGTTTAAAGAAAAGTCTGTGTATGGAGCGATATTAACTGTCTTCAATAATTTTTGTATTGTATTGGAAAAGAAGTCTGAATGACCTAGAACTCGAACAACGAAAATTTCACTTCAAATCTGAACGCTGATTTGTAATCCTAAAACGAATGCCCGTCACGTTCTTTGTGTGTGTTTGTTAATGTGTGTGAATGTGTGTGCGCGCGCGTGTGTTCGAACTATTCCCAAGCGTTCCGACCATCCGTACGCTTTGTCGTTTAATTCATTGTCGGAAGCTGAAGTGAAAACTCTCCTGTGATTCTCACTGATAACTTAATGCTTCTGAGGCCGTTTTGTGCGTCTAAAAACTTTTTAACAATTTTATAAAAACTTAATAACTTAATGTATTCTCTACGAGTACTAAAATGTGTGGTGAGGAAATAAGAGCTAAAGGCTAAAGGACGCATTCTTTTGTTTTACTATATAGTATAGTGCGTCCAAAAAGAAATTTGAGGAACATTTTAACGTGTGAACTAAAAAAAAAAAAGTTTCGACCAAAATTCAGTTCTATCAAACTTCCGTCGATCAATTTCCGTTCGATGAAATTTCTTTGAACAAATTTCCGGTAACCCTATGTTCGCCAACATACCAGTGAAAGTGTTCACGGACGGTTCTGCCAATTTGAGAGAAAGAACTGCTGGGTATGGTGCTCTAATACTATACCCAGCAGGGGGACCACCAAATGAAGAACTCTCGGGGCCTTGTTGGACTACAGTATCAAATTTTGATTAGGACCTTTTATGTGGAGCTTGAGGCTATACAAAGGGCCTTGGAGAGAGTGTATCACGCGTTAAAAGAGACGGAGCTTGCTGGGCCCGATGTGATTGTCTACTCCGTATCAAAATCTGCTCTTGAGATCTTGGGAAAGAGATCAGGTACCACTCATCGTATTGACGTCATCATTTTTGACGTGTGCAAGATCGTTGAACTAGGAGGCAAGGTGACAGTGCAATGGATCCCAAGTCATGTCAACGTCAGCTGCAATGAGAAAGTTGACACTCTGGTGAAAACTGGGTTTACCCTGCCTCAGCTAGAAGTACCAATAAATTATTTTGGAATAAAGAACTGGCAGGCAGACCATTTCAGGACGAAGTGGTACAGGCAGGGGGCAATACAACTGTCAAAGGCGTCTTTTCAAATTTTCCTACTCTTAGCAAACAAAACCCATGGTGGGAGTTAGGCTGCAGACAGCAGAGCTTAGTGACGCAGATGCGCACCGAGAATCGCCCCATAGGCACATACTTCTGGTGGCTAGACAACAATACGGACCCTATCTGCCGTCATTGCAACATGGTACCAGAGACACTAGCGCACCTGTTGATCGAAGGTCACTCACTAGATATCCTGGGGGAAGCCAGGGCGTTTGGAGAGCCCTACGTGAGGAAAATGTTGCATGTCTCAGCTCAGCAGATGGAGCTGGTAGCCAATGTACTAGCCGCGGTCATAAGAGAGTAATCTCAGACCTTTACCAGAGGGTGTATGTTAATTAGAAGGGAACTACATAGGGGAGATAAATGAAGTTTACTACTCTGGGATAACGCGCGCGGATAGATTCTACATTTATCTCCACTGTGGTCGTCTCGCACTTTACTGGGTAACTATAGGGATCTGGTTAACAAAACTCTCAGGAGATTTGCGAGTTAGCTCAACCGCACAAGCCCACCTTGCCATTGTTGGATAAACCTAAAGGCAAACGAGGCACACGCCTAGGCGCTCCATTTCTTTTAATGGCCCCGCGACGAGGTTTCCTATTTTTTGTGGCACGAGGACTTGGTTTGACCTTGATCTTAATTGTAATGACATATCGTAGTGATGTGCAGCTGGAAGATATGTTGGACAGTTGTTGTTGGAAATGGGTTACCAAGTAACAAGGTTACGCGCTGTCTGTTGTTAAAAAATTTCGCCGATCTGGAAAGTTACTCTGTCGACGAATGGGGAATTCTGACCCGCAAGTAAGTTAAAGTGACTTTGTTAGGAGAGTCACGCAAACCTGTACAAAAAGACTTGAATCCGCCCACACCATAGCCAAAAAGATGGTCCACAATACGTCATCCTAGCCCCTTATACCTGGCCCCTTATACCTGACCCCTTATATCTGGCCCCTTATATCTAGTCCCTTACAGGGTGGGCCAATAAAAGTGAGAAAATCTCGTAGCATAATATTTTACGAGATGTTCTCACTTTTATTGGCCCACCCTGTATATCTGGCTCCTTATATCTGGCCCCTTATATCTAGCCCCTTATATCTGGCCCCTTATATCTGGCTCCGTCAAGCGTTGTCCAACCTGTATCCAGTACGAAAACGCAAGTCCTAAAACTATCTTTGAACGGACGTACCTACAGGATGCGAGTTACACGGATGTCGTTGTAGACATGATTGGAGCGAATGAAGCACCTGCCCCGAAAACACGTGCATGGTTCTCATTTATCAAAACACTTACTGGTCGATCAAACTTCCTCTTCAGTACCGGTTCAAAGGTTCTGGCCTCTATACAGTGCTATCGGACTAGTAAGGCTCAGTGAAGTTGGTCATAGCCTGAAACGAAAGAACCGGATGTCCTACCCCGAAGACCGAATAGTTCATCTCTGGATTTGGATGCCTGTGCTATCAGGAAAATGGGAGCGAAAATTAACTACCCACCAGTGGGACGTATCACATTTCCAGGAAACACTGCTTAAAGGGGAAGCCGTTTCACATAGCGATGAAAAAAAAAATGGATATTGAAGAGGTCGGACCACAGCCTTCAAGAAACGATCTCCTCGTGGAGATTGTAGAGGTGAAGTCAGATAATAACAAAGCCTCCTTCACAATAAAAGTTATAAAAATAATTCTTATGTCGTAATTACAAATATGTATATACTACACCCATAAATCCAGTAACTTTACCTACAGGGAACAAAGCGGTCTTTGAGAAAACCCTTCTAGCAGGTGGTTTAACGCACAACCCCCCGAAGTGGGGTTACGCTGAAAGTAACGCAAGTGGACGTTAAGTGGAGGATGATTGTCTCTCAACAAATCACAATCGGCTACAAGACGAGAAACGTTTTGTAACACTTTTTCATGCAGGACAGAGTACGGAATCCTGGCCAGATCTAACGCTAATCCAAGCTCAATCAAAAGATCTAGTGTTATGAGAGTTGGTCGATGGTCACTACCAATCTCGGGAAGGACTTCGTATCGGACATTGGCCTCGAGCACTGCCGAGACCAGCGTTAAGTCTGGACGTGACATGGCACTGTTGCCCACGTGTGAAACAGAAGTGGGACACTGCTCTTATTTTGAAGCCAAAGAGGTAAGTCTTGAGCTTGACCTCCTCTAAATAGTGCCATGGGGGCGTTTGTGTCGGTATAGCCCATATCCGCAATATGGGCGTTAAAATCCTCAGCTATAAAGATATTACTAAAAGTAGTTGGGCTATGCAAGGGCAGGCAAAACGTATTCCTAGATTTGTTATAAATATTCAATATATGGTAAAGAAATTATCTTCTAATCCTGCTCTCAGGGTCAGAATATCTGTCCCATCAATGTTGATGCTCTCTACCAGCGCCTCTGTTATGGGGTTTCTCCTTAGGTTTACCAACCCTCGTCACTTAACGCGAGTGCAGCGGTATACTGAGACACCCGTAATGTGCAATGGATGTTTCTTCAGTAATGTCTCCTGAAGTAGAGCTACATCCGCCTCTCGGGTCCACCATACTAGTCTGCTGCGCGGCGTAAGGGCAAAAGCCCTTTCAACAGTCCACTCATCTCTTCGATCCTAACCACCTAACCTCGACCATCCACACGCTTCCATATATATTTTTTGACCATGCACATCCAACAAAAAAATTATCTTCATCCATCCAAGCAGAAATAGTCTTTATCCTTCACTGGATGTGTCATTTTTATATCTTAACACATACATATGTGACTCAATCCTAATACGACTCTGTTCTATTAATCTCCAGACTGATACACAGAGCGTCTCAAAGGGTTTACCCTTGACATAAACGACTCATTTAACCAAAGTGTTTTCCCACTAAATCGCCCCATCTACAGCACACACCATTTACACGCTCCATTTAACACACGCCGGGCAAGTCTCAACAGTTCTTATCAGTGCAACGTTTTCACAGGAAGGATCCAATGGAACTATTCTATTTGTGAACTCGAGATTTTCAGTGGTAAGACATTTAAGAAATTCAACTTTTTATTACATTAAATTTACAGCAACAAACATATCTTTAACAAGGAATTTCATTTGTTTGTTGGGATACAAACGTGTTTAAATGCAGGCAATTAACATCACTCGTAGAATACCTGCGCTACATACTGTGTGTATTGAAGATAGTATGTTCTACTTTTTTTTTTAAATGAGCAAAACTGTCAATTAAACAACTCTTAAAAACAAAGATTTCCGTGTAAATACTTTATAACGTGTCGTATCGAGCTGAAAATGTGTCAAAATATGCATACTAGTAAAGTATTTTATAATAATCGCAACTGCACATTATTTCACGCCCTTAAAATATATTAGAATTATATTGACCCACCCTCTTTTACACCGCAGATTTATTTCACAAACTATTTCAGGAAAATAAAAAGAACATATTACTCACCAAACGCATTTGCGAT